CTTAAACTTGGCTTAAAGGTTATTGATTATTGAGATATCAACAAGTGAATTTTCCATGACTTGACATGTTTTGATTGTGATTGTTGTGCTTGCCCTCTAGCCACATATTATGTTAGGACAAAGTTTCTTCGATAGATTTATACCTTAGGTCGGCTAATTAATATTTTTGTTGTGTTGCGTTTTATGCACTCTTTTTTGCATTTTGTTATTTGTGAACTCTATTTTGCAGGTGCTATAGTAAGCTTAAGGTGTACAAACTCTGTTTTGCAGGGTGTTATAATAAATTTAGGTTGTTGTAGTAAACGTAGGTTTACTTTCTTGTTGAGTTTGTCATCGAGTTAGGAGGGTTGTTCTAGTTGGTTAACTATGGATATCTGGATTGTCCAAATGATGAACACCAACAAAAGACAAACACTTACAAAGAATGAACAACAACAAAGGATGAACACCAACGAAGGATGAACCTCAAAGCATCAAAGCATGAACAAATGATATCCAGATAGCATAATTGACCGATGAATCAGCTTTAGATCTAGGACTTGCTACGTTTTACTTTGCCTCCTTTTCTAGGTTTGTTGGCGTCGTGTTTGCTTTTAGCCTGGATTGATCCGGTAAGCTCTTTAGGATAATTTTGCTACCCCAACTTAAACAATTAAAACCTAAATTTTTAAAATTAAGAAATTCATAACTAAAACAAATATACAATAAGATATTACATTCACACTTTAGAAAATCATGCATTTAAAACAATAAAATTAAAATTAAATAAAAATGAGTATAAACTTGTTTTCGACTTATAATGTGAGTCAGTCGGCACTAAAAGTCGACTTATAATGTGAGTATAAACCTTATTAATGAATCTTCTAAACATTCATCATCAAGGACATACATAACTTTATACAGCTTTCATGATTCACTCGGCACTAAAAGTTAACTAAATAAAACACTTTTGAGTGTGGTGAGGCATAAAAAATTTTAATTTAAATTGCAAAAATATATTTGCTTTAGTATAAGACATTTTGCATACTTTTCATACTTAGGTATCTTGATTTTATAATCAAGTTGTAATACCTATTTTCCTTGATAAACAACAATCTATCATATCCTATATTTATTGAGACCGGTTGTGCATAGTTTTCACTGTGATTAGATGGTTTAAATTACAGCCTTTATGTGCAGGGTTGTAAGTCTATTGTATTTGTTTGTTTGTGTTCTTTCCCGTCCTTTAGATTAGGTTTTCTAGGTTTCACTTCTTTCAGTGAACATCACTTCAGTCTTAAGATTCCGAGGTTGTTTGTCTAGCTACAACATAAATCTTTGCCTTTTAGGCTGTCTTATGATCAGATATCGTGAGATATAAGTTCTAATATTCTGATAAAATATCAATTCAAATATTAAAATCTCTTGGATAGTTGGAGTGTTACTGAATTTTTCAGTATCTCCCCTACATTTCTTTCTTTGGGTTCCGATAAGAACTGTTATACTTTTTTATCTTTCCCATTTGAAATTTTAAATACTCAATCGTGGAAACTTAAGTTTTGAAATTCTTGAAAACATAACCCTAGTTTTAATCAAGAGTTTTCTTAAGAGACTTTTGTTTCTTAAGATGTAATTAACTATAAGGGCATACTCTTATAGAGTGTTAGTAATCCAGATTAATGTAAACCTTATTTGACCTTCTGATTAGGTAGGAGAAATATTTGTTGGTTAAAACACAGACCTATCAAAAAGTGATATCTCTATCTTTCGAGATAGTATATTACTTTTAATGTCGTATTTGATTATTTATATAATTTAAATATTTGAAATCTGTATGGTGTACGTGATTCAAAAATAAACTAACAAATTTTTCTGGCAACTCCGCTGAGGATTAACTTCTCTCTCTTTATTTGGTTGATGGTTTTGCCTTCATACACCAGTAGTGCGTCTTTATATATTGATAGTGTGTATGTACCCCTTCAATATAAAGACCTTTATAAAGCTACTAAAGCAAAGTGGCTGGTAACAAAGAACTTTAACACCTAGATTTTACCTACGGTTCTTGCAAATCTAAAAATGAGAATAGAAATTGCGTTTTAGAAATCCAAGATAAGTGGAAATTATCCAAAAAGTTTAAATCAAGAAAGGGAAAGGAAAAGGATTGAGAATCTTAACCTATAACATGCAATCCATCAATTAAAATTTGAAGATGAAAATAGAAGAACAATCATATGCAATGAATGGTTTCAGATTACCTTGTTGTTTCTTGTATGCAGTTCTGGCTTACAGAAGAAGATCGTATGAGCATCCATTAGAAGAGAAGATTGCGTGCAAACCGATCGGTAGAAACTTTGCCTTTCTACTTAAGTTGATGGACGAAGGAAGGATCCTTGCTAGGAAGGGAGAAGTATCTTGCGAATCAATCAGAGGGAGAGGAGTTCCTCACAAATCATTCGGGAGAGATAAGAGTTCTTGCAGATGAGGAAGAGGGGAGGGACAGTGGCTCGAGACAAGATCGAAAGTAATGTTTGGGCTTCAGGCATTTGATGGTTATTTATAGGCAAATGATGGCTTTGGTGGCGCTGAGGTCTCATGGCCAGTTGACAACGAGCTGACAGTCAAAACTCCTAGCCAATGAGAATAAGCCACTTTAGTCGGTCAAATTTGGTGGGCTCCATAGGTGCCGTTGAGGTGGCTAAGCAAGAAGGAAGAAAAAAATACAATTTTTTTTTAATACTTACGGTTTTTTTTAATACTTATGGAGAAGATTATTTCATTTTACTTTTTTTTAATTTTACTTTTATTATTATTATTATTGAGTCCTATTATTATTAATAATTTATTTTATTTCATTTATCACTTATTTATTTTTAATTGTTTTTAGTAATATATCTTTTTGGTTAATACTTGAATTTAAAATTTATATCATTTTCTTTTTTTATTACATTTTTTTTGTTAAATTTTAATTCGAATTTGATGTAAAATTTTTATATTATCTTATATTATTTTATTTTATTTTTATTTCAATTTTATTTTAAATTTATATTGCTTGATTTATGCTCTTTTTTCTTTTATTACAACTTATTCTAGAATTTTGGATTAATAATATTTCAAGTATATTTTGTTTATTACTGTAATTTTATATTTAAGCCTTTATATATATTGATTAAAATTGTCGAAATTTTTTAATTAAGAATTTATTTAGATTTTTCAAAACTTAATATTTTTTTTATTATTTGTATTCAATTTTAAATTTATTAAAGATTTACTTTTATTTGTGCTTAGTTAGGATTACATGATTTGATTTTGAATTTTAGGTTTTCTTTATTGATTTATGTTTGCATTTAAAATTTTTTATTTCAATTTATGTGTTTAATTCCAAATTGAACCCAATTTTTTAGTGATGGGAAATGAATGGCCCATGTTTTTATAGCTTCAATTTGCTGTAGGTACCCGCCTGAAGTCTTTCTTTACATAGGTAAAAATAACCAAGTCCCCTACATTAATACTTTTGAATTTATGATGACTACTTCTCTGTAAGACTAAGTAGAGCAAGTGAGCTTTTGTTAGCATGTCTTAACATCTCAGTCCCCGTTGATGCTCGCAGGTGGCTTGCTTTGTGTTTTAGGTATGATAGAGAGATCCTCTGTGATTAGGTAGCTTTGTGTAGACAATTTAAAGGATTCTAGGTGATGGATTGTTTGGTCATGGAGCTATAAACAAATTCAGCCTAACCTAATATTTCATTTCCGATGTTCTAAAGCAAGGCAATGCACATATTCCTTAGCATTTGGTTGACAATTTTTGTTTTGTTGTCTGATTGTCGATGATAGGCAGAGCTCAAACATAAGTCAGGTTGTAGGCGTCTCTACAATTATTGCTAAAAGCACCTGATAAAGTTAACATCACTGTTGGATGTTAAGCTTTGAGGTAGGCCGTGTACCTGAATGATCTCTTAGAAGAAGAGTTTAGCTACATTGTGTGCATTATAAATTTTCTTTGGTAGTCATTTCGGAAAAACTGTCAATAATAACCATTATGGAGTTGGTACTAAGAATGGATTTGTGGCAAGCCAATAACAAAATAGAGACTTAAATCTTTTCAATTAGTAGTGATAATTGATAAATTTGTATTTAATCGTGCTTGAGAAGAACCTTTCTATGTTTGACTTGTAGTGTTGCACTTTTCGACAGGGTGAGAAACTTCTTGTGAGAGCTTGGACCAATAAAATTGGGATTGCATCAGGACTTCAGCAATACAAGAGTTTTATCTTGGCCAAGATGCGCTGCTAATCATTTGCCATGTAAATAAAAAAAAAAATGTTATCAGAGAGAGGTGTAGGAATATAGAGTTGATTACCTTTAAATAGAGAACCTCGTTGTATGGAGAAATTGTTGACCCTTCCATTTTCATGAGGCAAATATTTAGCCCAATTGAGTACTCAAGTTTTATAACAAGATTTTAGGTGACCATTTCATTTTCCTCCTTGCCCCGAAACCATGGAGGAAGGTAACTTCACATCTTTCTTTTCGCAGCGAAGCACCCTTCCCGGATTTACTAACTCCGCCGATCACGGGATGTAAATCCGGGATTTAAGGCCGAAATCTGGGAAATCCGGATTTATCAAATCCACTGCTTTATTTGTCCAAACTCACCGTCTGGCGAGGTTTAGGTTAAATCCTGCTCTAATCCATTACCAGACAGCCCCTTAGGCATTAGCCCCTCAATTCATCTTACTGGATGCATCATATTATTAACCATCCATCTTTCTTGCTATGGTATGTTTTGATATTTATGCCATTGAAGCTATCATTTCGTTGATTAAACAGAAATATGAATTATATTTTGCTTGAATGTCGTAAAACTTACAAGTGGTTACTGAACCAATTCCTTCAAGTAATATTTTTCAAGTTTTTTTGGCTCTCTCAGCATTACTTGATTTTCTAGAGTTTTTCTTTCCACTTTGTTTTAGCATTCTCTTGTTTCTTTGATCGCTTCACCAATCCTTTTGAGCTTTGCAGATTTCTAGAGCTGAGATGTCAGCAAATGCTCTGAGAGATCTCAATGTTCTTCCAATTTCGGAGTTGTTGGAGAATAACACTGAAAATTCTAGCAAGGGAAATTTCCCCAAGTCTTTTCCTGAGGATTCCAGTGCGAACCTTGAAAAATGTCAGAATGTGAATTCCGCTGCCGTGTTCTCAGCCCCTCACAATGGATCTGGAGCTGATCCTAATGGAGATGTAGTAGGAAATGCAGAAGTTGAGTACATAGAAACTGAGAACCTGGCTGACCTTCTATCAGTGGATTCAACTCTTAATGTATTCTATTTCTGTAATATTTAACATGTTTATCTAAATTCTACCACAACGAAAGTGTTTACATTATCCCACAAGTGCTTATAACACTGCTAATGTTTTAATTTCTTTCATGAAGTCACTGTTAGCGAGATTAGACTCAAAGGATTGGATTTCAGTTTGTGAAGCACTCAATAATGTGCGCCAGCTATCAATATATCACAAAGAGAAGCTGATTGATTTAATGTGAGACATTTATACATTTGTTTCATATGTGGAGTTGATAATTTTTTGGTAGGTTGGCATACTATATTTAGATTGACCTTACAATCTCTTCTATTCAGAGAAGATTTGATTCCAAAGATTGTGAAATCCTTGAAAAATCCAAGAAGTGCCGTTTGTAAGACTGCAATCATGACTTGTGGCGACATCTTCAAGGTTTACAATGATTCGATGATTGATTTTCTTGATCCTTTGGTATGTTAGCTCACTAAACTTCAACTGCTTTACCCGAAAATATCATTTGAGATGCTAAGAACTTTTAGAACTATGCTTTATGGTATTTTAATCTACTTAACCAAACTCTGTATTTTTTTTTATTTTATCAGCTTGTACAGCTGCTCCTCAAATCTTCACAAGACAAGCGATTTGTATGTGAGGCTTCAGAAGCAGCATTGATTTCTATTACCACTTGGATATCCCCTTCTTTACTGTTACCTAAGTTGCAACCTTATCTTAAGAACAGAAATCCTCGTGTTCGTGCAAAAGCGTCAATGTGTTTTAGCCGCAGTGTTCCAAGACTCGTAAGTTTCATTCCAATGCTTGTTTTAGATTTCGTCATGATCAGCCATTATTTCTCGTATGTGATTAAACTGATCTTTTCGGTCACACTTAAATTATTGGATTGTTAATTATCTTGCCTATCTAACAGTTAACTTGATGGAAAATTTACATTCCTAGGTATTTAAATATCTAATACTTGAACTTCAATTTTTACAACTACGTCACCTCATCTTTGCATGAAAAGCTGTATTTCACTTTTTAAAATTTAAAATTGTGCTGTTTTTTATGTGATATGAAAGATTTAGGTAGTATAAATGTAAAAAATAAAGTTTAGGTGTTGGATATGTAAATACATGGGAACTAGGTAGTATGTACCCAATCACCTTTGTTGGCTTTATTATAGTTTAAGTCTTTCTGTTTACAGTTGAAGGGTTCATTGGATTGATTGTAGTTGGAGACCACGTTTCAAAAAGTAAATAGTTTTGTTTTCACTTATCTTTAGTAAAATAAAATCATTACATGTAGAGGTTTTAGTGATGCCTGTAGAGTTCGAAATCAAAATTATGTTCTAATTATATTCAACAAAAATGGCTGAATATGGTAAAATCGCCATTTTGAAAGCATGTTTTCTAACAAATTGAATAAAATGACAAATGTCAGCTAGCTAGTTCTATATTTTGGAACACATGAATATTTCATCATTCCTTCATTTACTTCATTCACCCAATTGTTTTTATTAATTTATGTCCCAATCTATCGCAGTTCGTTACTCTTACTCTGCATTAGTATGCAATATTGATGTTACTGTAGGGCGTTGAAGGGATCAAAGAGTATGGCATTAATAAGCTTATCGAGATTGCGGCATCTCAGCTCAGCGATCAGCTTCCGGAGTCTCGAGAAGCTGCTCGAGCCCTTGCAGTTGAGCTGCAAGCATTTTACGAGAGATCGAGACTTTCGGAGGACTCACAGGGTGTGGACAATCTATCTTGGGAAGCTTTCTGTCAGGCAGAGCTTTCTGCTTTAAGCGCTCAAGCTGTTCTTAGGGTGACCTCTGTGGCAAAAGAGGGATTGGGTTGCTAACCGAAGTAATCTCTATGCCTTATCTAACACCTTTTGTACATTTTGCTGAAGAGAACTTTGAGAAGAACCAAACAGAGTGTTGCTCTTAGCTGATTTGGCAGCTTTTAGATTTTTGGTGTTTTGATCTTGTGCTAGTTTGCTGAGATTACACCATCTATTTTAGTGCTGTTTTTACATCCGTGAGTCAAACTTTAGGCAATCGTTTCAACTCTGAGCTCTTGCTCTTTTTTTTTTTTTTTGCCGAGTAAAGTTGAAAAATTCTCTTGAGTATATGTATGGAATATTTTATTTCCAGAGTTTATAAAAATGTTACATTGGGCCCCAATTTTTTTAATGTTAATTAGCTCGACTCAAATTATTCAATCTGATTTCGGTCAGAGTCAAAAATCAAATTGATTATCGAGCAATTAACGAACTTTCGGTAGACTTCATGGCCTCATGTTCGTGGCGTCTATATTTTTTATTTTGAACGTTACAACTGCTAAAATTTTTCGTCCAGCTCTGCCATAATCCAAGCAGCTTTTTGCTTTTCCATGCGCTGCCGCCTACCTACTTAATTTAATCATTTATTTCTGGTCTTGAAGTTAGATTTATAAACCAACAAGTACAATAAATGAGCAACTTTTGATTATTTGTTTGAAACTTCTTCGAAGTTTTGTTGCTAATAGGTGAAAGAGGCATTTACACAGATTACGCTAAACTTTTATGTAATTGCATATTAAACTCCTAAACCTTTTTGCATATATACCAACCAAATCTTTCCAACCACATCAAATATAACACTTTTTTTCTTACTTTTACGAAGTGAAACACCTTTTTATCCACATGCAAAATAATATATATTTAAAAATTGAACTTTAGGGGTTATATATGTAATTATGTATGAATTGAGTGGTATGTATGTAATCCATACAAGTTTAAAGGTTGTTGCGAATGCCTCTAAATAAAATCTATTTTATATTTTCAATAAAGAAAAAAAAAAGGCAGCTATTTATAGAAGTCCTCTTCAAGGAGACGTTGTTGATAAGAAAAGCTTCGGCTGTGGCCCCACTTATCATTAATTACTAGACGATAGTGATGCCTTTTTTTTTTTTCTCTTTGAACGCAGCATATATGGATTCCTCTTAAGGATTTAATTTTGTTCGTTACTGATTGGCAAATGGCTATTATTTCCTCCTTCAATCTGTAAAATAGTTTTAGATCTATGAAATACTTTTAGATCTACAAAATCAGCGGCCCATAATATGCTGTTGTCGTTGAAAAGGACTTCGTCGATAGCTGTCAAAGGAAGGATAAGATCCTGAGAATGGGTCATTTTCTCTCATAGACAAAAGTCTTTTGTTCGATGTCACCACTCGGATTAACTAACTGAAGACAGTATTCATGTCATTTTATTTTTCACAAAATTTTAAAAACTTTCAGTATATATAAACGAGTTGTTAATCAACAAAGTACTATAAAATTTAAATCATTCAGAAACAACAACATACTCATAAAAAAAAATCATCTCAAGTCTGTACTAAACAATATATCAATATTTAAACAAAACTGTACACAGAAACTACTATCATAAAAAAATACTTAGCAGCAATGTTTCTCTTTCCATAATCCAAGTCTCTCCAATCAGACATATCAACCTATAATTTTTGTTTCATAAAATAAATTGTTAATTTCAATCGTTAGTATGACTTATTGAGTAATTATGATAAAATATGCATTAAATGAAGATGCTTATGATATGCATGAATGACCAAAAGAAAATACAGTTTTTTTCTTTATAAAACTTTGAACTTTCACTTCGATTTTATCAATTCTCGTTTCACTTTAATTATTTATCATTTTAACATATTTAATAGTCATTGCAGGATTACCATCATACTTGAAGATATCCTAAGAAATGTGAATGAAGACACCCTCAAAATTGTACCCGAAGGTGCCCTTAAATTATACCAAAAGATGCACCTTTACCATTTTCTTTAATGTGTACAAGTACATTCAATCTTCTATCAGCACCATCTGGGAGTAATCATGTAGAACTTAATTGCATTAATTCAGGTTGATCTCCTCCCTTTACTTGCTTCATAAATCTCTCCTTCAAAGCTGAAATTTTTGTTTTAGAGTCATGATTAAATTTGACATTGCATTTATACACCCTCACACACCAAAAAATCCATTAAATATCTTCATAAAAATCCTAACAAAAATTAAAATTCTTTGGTTGTCCGCTAGTCTTCCCCATCCCTCGCATGAAATTCACGTCACCTCTTTGCCTCAATTTTCTTGATTTATTAGTTTCAATCATAATATAACATACAATTAATCTTAAACTTTAAATAATATACTTATATATATATATATATATATATATATATATATATATATATATATATTTATTTATTTATTTCTAACTAAATAACATAATCAATTAAAACAATTTATAAAACTTACCTTGGTCTTGGACTCACGCATACGATAAGCTTCTTCCTTTCTCGACAAAGCCGATCATTCTTCTTCTTCCTTTACACTTTCTATAGTGACTCTATAGTGCTGAAGCCACCTACTCCCTCCTCTGCATGTGAAGATGGCACAACACCCATTCTTCCTCCTCTTTAGTCTCGAATCGACCCAAAAATAGTCGCTGCCTCGTACCCGTAGAGGGTTTCTTTTCCCTATTCAACTTCTCCTTCTTCTTTTATGCAGCATAACACCGAAGAGTGCTTTTTTACTCCTCCATTGGCTTCAACTCAACCCAACAGAGTAAACATACTACTCCTCTTCTTATTCTTCTTGGCTTCGATTGTGGCTCACCCAACACTGCAAGAACTTGACAATGTCACTTCCTCCTTCCTCTACACACGAGCGGCAAGAGTGAAGTCAAAACAGGTAAGAGACATACACAACCCTTTGTTCCTCTTCTTCTTCTCTCACAAAAAATATGAAAATTGAGGGCTTGAAACTAACCCTCCTCCCTTCTTCTTTCTCTGATTTTTCTTCTCTCTCATACTCATCCTCTTTTTTATTTTGTTTGTTAAGTGGGTCAAATGAAGAGTGAAATGGTAGAGGTTGCTTTTAATCCTTGACAAGAAATGTGTCTTAACAGACACTTTTTTTCCTTACGATTATTATTATTATTTTCGATTATTACAATCCCCTTTATAAAATTTCGCCCTCAAAATTTGAAAATATTAATTACAACAACAAACAAATCTCAATATAAAAGTTGTGGATATCTTTCTTGCATCTCAGAGAACTTCTACCAAGTAGCATCCTTTTCCAACCCATGCCTCCATAAATATCTTCATAAAAGGGACCTCTCTATTGAGCAGCTTGTTCACATCATAATCTAGAATACTTTCATGCTCATCAACATAAGTTAAATCAAGCTAAATATCAATTTAGTCTACTATCATTCTACTAGTTCCTCTGCAATGTAATTTCTTAGTGAACAAATGTGGAAAACATTATGCACACCTTTCATATGAGTTGGCAAAGTCAATCTCTCCACAATCACAAATTGATGACAAATTTGGGGCTCAACTTTTCTGTCTTCCCAAATGTTGTGCACCCTTCAATGAACTAACCTTGATAAAGACAAATTCTCCAACCTCAAACTTAACAGGTTTTTTCTTGGTATCATAGTATTTTCTCCATTTATCCCGCACTACCCTAAACTTGTCTCTGATCAATCTATCTTCTCAGTAGCATCATTAACCAAATCAACACCAATGATCTTTCTTTCACCTATTTCAACCTAACATAAATGTTCAGCACTTCCTTCCATAAAAGGCTTCATATGGAGCCATCCCGATGCTAGCCTGATAACTGTTATTGTAAGTAAATCCTATTAAAGGTAAATGTGATTTCCAACCTCCACCAAATTTATGGACACATAACCTTAGTATATCCTCTAAAGTTTGAATAGTCCTCTATGATTGACCATCTATCTGAGGGTAAAAGGCTGTGTTGATAGTCAATTGGGTGCCCAAAACTTCCTATAATCTAGAAGTAAATATGTCATCTTTGTTAAAAACAATAGACTTCGACACTCAATGCAACCTTACAATTTGATCCACATAGAATTTGACTAGCTTCTCAACTGGATAAGTATGTCTAATAGGAAGAAATGGGCAGACTTGATCAGTCTATCGATAATTATCATCCTGATCATAATGAGATCCAAGAAAACCAATCACAAAATCCATCTTAATCTCTTCCCATTTTGACTATGGAATCCGTAAAGGCTGCAACTAATCTCTTGGACGGTGATGCTCTACTTTCACTAGCTGACAGAAAGGACACTTGATTACGAATTCTACCTCATTTCCTTTAACCCTAATCACCAAAATGCTTCTTTCAGATCCTAATATATTTTATTACTCCTTGGGTGAATAGTATAATCAGACAAATGTGCTTCCTCCAAAATTTCTCATCTCAAATCAACAATATTTGAAACATAAATCCTGCCTTCATACCATACCATTATGATCTAGCTCAAACTTCTCTAAACTACCTGTCTTAACTTGCTCCATAACTTTCTGAATATTGTTATTTCTGGCTAAAAAATCTTTAATTCTATTCTTTAACGTTGGCAACACCATCAATTGATAAAGTTAAATCATGTTATCATCTCCAAAATTAACTATAGATAGCTTCAACCTCTTCTGACCCTTAATTAACTGCTCATGCTGAGTAAATAAATAGTTCAAAATATCTGAAGCTTTCTTACTCAGTACATCAACAATGGCAGTTGCCTTCCCAGATGATACTAAATATCTAAATGATATTTTTTACTAAATTCCAACCATCTCCTCTGCCTTAGGTTCAAATCTTTCTGAGTGAAGATATATTTCAAACTCTGATGGTCGGTAAAAAGTTCATATCTAACTCCAAATATATAATGCATCCATATTGTGAGTTCAAATATAATTGTAGAAAACATCCAATTCATGTGAGGTATAGTTCTTTTCATGATTCTTCAATTATTGTGATGCATATGCAATGACCTTACCATGTTGCATGAGCACACAACTCAAACCCCTCAAAGCATCATTGAAAATATGAAACCCATTAGAACCTGAATGGATGGTTAATGTTGGAGTAGATACTAAGCAAGCCTTCAGCTTTTGAAAGGCCTCTTTAGAACAATTATACTAGTCAATGTTCACCACCTTTTAAGTCAACCTTGATAAAAGCATAGCAATTTTTTAAAATACTTCAAAAAACCTTTTGCAATAACTAACCTGACCTAGAAAACTCCTTACCTTGGTGACAGTAATAGGACTTGACCAATCTACAATCACCTTAAGCTTATTCTGATCC